TCAAGACCTGAATCTTTTACCAGCAGCTTTTTTCAGGTAAATCAAGGCTTTCACTAACACTCTCAATAATCCAAAGCCACAGTTCCAAAGTCACTATCACACATGAGGTGCTATCATGGCAGCACCCCACTTCCAGGTATCAACATCTGTGTGAACTAACAATTGCTGTGTAACAATTTAGCTCAAAACTTAGCAGCTCACAACAATAAGCATTATTATCTTGCGCAGTTTGAGGTTCAGGAGTCTGGGAGTGGCTTAGATGGAGGTTCTGGCTTAGGGTCTCTCAGGAGGTTACCATGGGGTTATAGCGTCTGACACTTGGCTGAGGCTGGAGGATTCTTGTCCAGGATGGCCCAGGAACATGGCTGTGGCTCACAGATTTCTTTGCTCCAGAGGCTACTCAAGACATGGCTGGGAGCTGACTTCCCCTAGAGCATGTGATCTGAGAGAGAAAGCTAGACACACACACACAGAAAGAGAGAGAGAGAGAAGAGAGAGGTGGAAGTCCCAGAGTCTTCTCTAATCTAATGTTGGAAGAGACATACCATCTCTTGGTATGTCTTGATATGGTTTGGCTGTGTCCCCACTCAAATCTCATCTTGAATTCCCATGTGTTTTGGGAGGGACCCAGTTGGAGGTAATGAATCATGGGGGCAGGCCTTTCATTTTTATTTTTATTTTTTTAGATGGAGTTTTGCTCTTGTTACTCAGGTTGGAGTGCAGTGGTGCAGTCTCAGCTCACTGTAACTTCCCTTTCCCAGGTTCAAGCAATTCTTCTGCCTCAGCCTCCTGAGTAGCTGGGATTACAGGTGCTCACCAACATGCCTGGCTAATTTTTTGTATTTTTAGTAGACATAGGGTTTCACCATGTTGGCCAGGTTGGTCTCAAACTCCTGACCTCAGGTGATCTGGCCACGTTGGCCTCCCAAAGTGCTGGGATTACAGGCGTGATAGTGAATAACTCTCACAAGATCTGATCGTATTATAGGAAGGAGTTTCCCTGCACAAGCTCTCTTTTCCTGCTACCATCCACGTAAGATGTCACTTGCTCCTCCTCGCCTTCCACCATGATTGTGAGGCCTCCCTAGCTGCGTGGAACTGTAAGCCCATTAAACCTCTTTCTTTTGTAAATTGCCCAGTCTCTGGTATATTTTTATCGGCAGCATGAAAACAAACTAATACACCATCGCTATGTCTGTATTCTATCGGTCACACAGACCAACCCTGGTAAGTGTGGGAGACTCCATAGGGTTGTGATTTCTCAGAGGCAGGGCACGTTATGAATCACCTTGGAGGCTGACTACTGCAAAATTATTAAGGGGTGAAAGGTCAGGTTGTCTATAATTTCCACGCTTTTGAAAAAAAATTGATGAAGCAAGTTTAGTAAAATACTAAAGATAATTACATTTAGGCCTGGGGTATATGGGAGTTAATTGTATTCTTCTTTCTACCTTTCTATATGTTTGTACATTTTCATTAATAAAAAGTAAAAAAAAAAAAAGCAAATTGAAGCTTTCTGTCTGGGGATGACAAGATGGCCGACTGGTGCTCAAGAACCTTCTAGAAATCAGCTACCCAGCCTCTCACCTGTCTTCACCAGCAGTGCCTGCCCTGTGCACAGGATTCAGCGCTTTCCCAGTGGACTCCCTGCAGCTCCACTGAGGAGAGCTGGAGGCTGAGTCAGCAACACAGCCAGAAAATGGTAACAGATGACATAGAATATGTTTGCCCTCAGGTATTATTTCGAGATGTTCTGAAACACAGCAGCACTTTTTCTGATTTTGTTCCAAGTGTCTTTAGAGGAGCGATTCCAAGGAATACTTTTCCTGACCTTGCCTTCAAAGTCAGTGAAATCACAGCCGTTTGAGCAGAGTCAGCAATTTTGTTTAACTTTGACCTTGCCCTGTTTGTTAATTCAGCTTGGACTCATTCTGTCCCTGGAATTTAGTTACCTATTTAAGAATGAAAAATAAAAGCCGGGCGCGGTGGCTCAAGCCTGTAATCCCAGCACTTTGGGAGGCCGAGACGGGCGGATCACGAGGTCAGGAGATCGAGACCATCCTGGCTAACACGGTGAAACCCCGTCTCTACTAAAAAATACAAAAAACTAGCCGGGCACGGTGGCGGGCGCCTGTAGTCCCAACTACTCGGGAGGCTGAGGCAGGAGAATGGCGTGAACCCGGGAGGCGGAGCTTGCAGTGAGCTGAGATCTGGCCACTGCACTCCAGCCTGGGCGGCAGAGCGAGACTCCGTCTCAAAAAAAAAAAAAAAAAAAAGAAAGAAAAATAAAAATAACTTTGGAGGGGTAACGAGCAGCAAACGCTGAGTCATACCTCTTTAATTTATAGGGAACTCCATGAAATCTTAGTGTTCATTTCCGCTAAGAGTTTCTGTGAGAAGGAAACTCAATTTTTTTAAGAGCCCAGGTTAAATAATCACTTGTGTGATTCTTTTTCCGTGGAGTTTGGCACTAAAATTGGTGAAGTTGAAATATTGTCCTTTTGGGTGTCACAAGCAATTCGCGCATTGTAGGGTGGAAACAAGAATTTTTCTTCAGCCTGGGCAACATGGTGAAAGCCTGTCTCCACACACACAAAAAAAAACTTAGCTGGGGGACATGCCTGTAGTTCCACCTACTTAGGAGGCTGAGGTGGGAGGATCACCTGAACCCAGGGAAGTAGAGGCTGTAGTGAGCCGTGATTGTCCCACTGCCCTCCAGTCTGGGTGACAGAGTGAGACCCTGTCTCAAAAAAAGTAAATAAATTTTTTTCTTTGGGGTTGATCCTGAATTTGTTCTGGGTAATAACACTTTGGTAGCTTTTTAAATTATTCTGGTGTTTAAAAAATCCCTACCCATTATTTTAGAGAAATTCCAAGCCCGTAAAATAATTCAACTGCAGATGCTTCAGACCGGGTTTTGAAAGATGCTGGCTGAAAGAAAATTAATGTATCTATAGCAGGAAAACACTGTTTTAGTCCGTTTGGGCTGCTACAACAAAAACACCAGGCTGGGCAAGGTGGCTCACATCTGTAATCCCAGAACTTTGGGAGGCCGAGGCCAGTGGATCACCCGAGGTCAGGAATTTGAGACCAGCCTGACCAACATGGTGAAACCTTGTCTCTACTAAAAATACAAAAAGTAGCCGGGCATGGTGGTACACACCTGTAATCCCAGCTACTCGGGAGGCTGAGGCAGGAGAATTGTTTGAACCCAAGAGGCAGAGGTTGCAGTGAACCGAGATGGCACCACTGCACTCCAGCCTGGGTGACAGAGTGAGACCTTGTCTCAAAAACAACAACAACAACAAAAACACCATAGATAGACTTGGGTAGCTGAAACAACATTTATTTCTTACAGTTCTGGAAGTTGGAAGTCTGGGATGGACCAACAGGATTGGGTTCTTGGTGAGTGTCCTCTTCCTGACATACAGATGAGGAAGCCTTGCCTCTTTTTGTAATGGCACAAATTTCATTCTTGGGGGCTCCACCCTCATGACCTAAGCGTCTCCCAAAGGCCCCGCCTTCAAATACCACCATACTGGGGGTTAGGATTTCAACAAATTTGGGAGAGGACACAAACATTCTGTCCATAACAAAACCTTTGCAGTGGGGAGGGCAGGAAGTGCGGCCACCATGGTGCAATGGTTTGGTAATGTGCCTGTTTGTCCAGAATCGTGTCTCAATTCTGAGCTATATTCCTAGAATTCCCTTTTCCTGTACGTTTCCAGTTTGGGTGAGCCACAGGGGTGTGCTTCTGCAGCCAAGTTGAAGCAGTTATCATAACCTTGGTCAGATGACCAGAGAAAATACGAAGGAGAAGGCAAGTATGAAACGTGTATTCATTTTTTTTTTAATTTGTTTTTTTTTTTTTGAGACGGAGTCTCGCACTTTCGCCCAGGCTGGAATGTAGTGGCTAGATCTTGGCTCACTGCAAGCAGCTCCGCCTCCAGGATTCACACCATTCTCCTGCCTCAGCCTCCCCAGTAGCTGGGATTACAGGTGCTCGCCACCACACCTGGCTAATTTTTGTATTTTTAGTAGAGACGGGGTTTCACCGTATTAGCCAGGATGGTCTCGATCTCCTGACCTCGTGATCCGCTTGCCCCGGCCTCCCAAAGTGCTGGGATTACAGGCGTGAGCCACCGCGCCCGGCTTTTTTTTTTTTTTTTTTTTTTAAAAAGCTTCATTTGGGGCTGGGGCCGGGCACAGTGGCTCACGCCTGTAATCTCAGCACTCTGAGAGGCCGAAGCAGGTGGAACACTTGAGGTCAGGAGCTCGAGACCAGCCTGGCCAACATGGTAAAACTCCGTCTCTACTGAAAACACAAAATTAGCTGGGCGTGGTGGCGCATGCCTATAATCCCAGCTACTGGGGAGGCTGAGGCAGGAGAATCACTTGAATCCAGGAGGTGGAGGTTGCAGTGAGGTTGAGGTTGAGATCGTGCCACTGCACTCCAGCCTGAGTGACTACAGCCTCGGCAACAGAGTTAGACTCCACCTCAAAAAAAAAAAAAAAAATGTGGCTGGACATGGTGGCTCACACGTGTAATCCCAGCACTTTAGGAGGCTGAGAGGGGAGGATCACTTGAAGCCAGGAGTTCGAAGCTCCAGTGATCTATGATTGTGTCACTGCACTCCAGCCTGGGTGACAGAATAAGACCCTATCTGTAAAATAAAATAATAAAATAAACAAAAAATAGCTTAATTTTTATTTACAACAGAAGTTACTTGTGTTGGAAGCCAGGCACGCACGGAAATCTCACAGAAGGCTGGCTGTCTTCCTTCTCCGGGCCTCCCTGCCTCCTCCCTCAAGGCTTCCTGATTCTCTTTTCCCTTGCGCTCTGTGGTTCCCCTCCTCCCAACGCCCTCTCCCTGAACTTTTCTTTACCTTGGAGCCTCTCCCATCTCTCCCTCCCTCTTCCTCCCTCCCCCAGCCTCCAATCACCCCACTTCTTCCCCTCCCCTTACTTTCTTCCCTCCCCTCTCTCATCTCCTCCCCTCTGCGCCTCCCTCCCTCCTGGCCTTCCTTCCCTTCTCCGACTTTGCAGACCTCTCTTCCCCCAGGCCTCCCTCCTCCTCCTCTCCGCCCCCTCCGGGCTCCGGCTCTCCCTGGAGGCTACGACTCCGGGTGGAGCCACTGGTCCCGCAGGGATCCCCGCGTCCTCGGTCGCCGCGTCCACGTCCCTCTCACGTCCCCGCCCGGCGCCGCGCCAGCTCCTCTGAGTTCGGCCTCCGCGCGGTGCAGCGCAGTCTTACGCCGCGAGACAAGGTACGTGCGCGTCCCCGGGGCACATAAGCCCGGGCCCCGCTCCTTTGAACTCGCGCGTGTGTTCTAACTGTGGCAAAGAAGGTCTTTGCCGCGTGCACGGGTAAGGAACTTCCCATAATCCGTTTTCAGAAGCTGACTTTCATAAAAGTGATACGTTGTCCTTGCAGAACAGCAGCCCCCACGATCCCACGCGTCCGAAGCAGCCGCTGTTTACATTTTGGTATTTTCCCGTAGGTGTTTCGCCATGCATTTTAAGGACATAGTGGAAATCACACCGTATGCAAACTTGCGTTCGTTTTGGCCGTTTAGCACGGAGGAACCTTTCCTCCATGCCGTTAAATACTCCTTGTAACTCTCTTCCTGCAGTGAGACATTCTGGTTCTAGCGTTTTTACTAATATAAAACTGTGAAAAAAAAACTGAGCATATTTGCATCGAAATCAGTATCCACATTCGACAGCTTTTCCTTAGGGTGAGTATTAAGAAGAGAGGTGCTGGGTCTATGGGTCTAAGAGTGGGACATCCTAAATGCTGGGTAGGTGTTGCCAAGAACGACTGGACAGTTTACACCCCACAGCCATGTGGGTCGGGCAGGCTTTGGAAACACTGGGCACTGAGATTTATGTCCACTTGCTGATGGAAGATGCCACCTGTTGTTTTCAAAGCCCATTTAAAATAAAGTGGTTAGTAATGAGCCTCGTCGGTATCCGGGGAATCCTATCCAGGCCTGGGAACACCAGAGAAAAAGCAGACTGCAGGGGCGTCGTTGGCATGTCCAAGAGGGCCAATGTGTGCTCATCCAGGTAGCTTCCTAATTCCTGCTCTCTCAACCATAGACACTTGGAAAATACAAGGATGACTGCTGAAAAATAAATATTTGGAGAAGTTTGTTGTTTATATAATCATCTAAGGATAAGTACTGGCCCTGCCTTCCCTGCTGCAAGATTGAAAATCACTTGCCATGTTCCTACAGTGTTTAACCAGTAAAGGAGAAACCTGCCTTTCACATTAGACCCCTGTGTTGTCTTGGGGCCCTCTGTAACCCTGAGCCCTGGATTCACTTCCACGTGGTTTCGATTTCTCAATTTCTAAAGCTTCCAGAAATGTATTCCTCCCTTCTCTCCTCTCCGCCCCACTGCACCTGGATACCTCCTGGCCTTCCCTTTCCTGACTTTGCAGACCTCTCTTCCCCCAGGCCTCCCTCCTCCTCCTCTCCGCCCCCTCCAGGCTCCGGCTCTCCCAGGAGGCTGGAGATGTATTCCTAGACTTCCCTGCTTGTTATAATCCCAACTGCACCAGTCCCCTTTGCTTGTCAAGATCTGTTTTCTCTATTTCTGTTGGAGAACTGTGTTGTGCCTGGAAGTCTGACTTGTGAGTTATTTGAATCCTTAGGACATGAAATCAGGAAAACTACACCCCCACCATACTTAACCACCTGTCTCTCATCTCTCTGACTGCCAGTGTTAGGGAATGTTTGATTACATTGTTAAAAGATAATTTTCAGCCAAAGGTGAAATCATTACTTTTATACAGATATAAAAGTGGTAAATATTTTATTCATTAAAGAGAGAAATAGGCAGATGTTGTAACTGGTTCAAAAAAGAAGTCAAGAAGTGGAAATGTATATGGAGTAAAGGAATGCCTCGTGAAGGTACGCGCAGGAGAGCATACCCTTGGAATTTGCAGATCAAATACTCAACTGTAAGGCCAGGTGCGGTGGCTCACGCCTGTAGTCCTAGCGCTATGGGAGGCCGAGGCAGATGAATCCTGAGGTCAGGAGTCTGAGACCAGCCTGGCCAACATGCTGAAACCCCGTCCCTACTAAAATACAAAAATTAGCCAGGCGTGGTGGCATGTGCCTGTAATCCCAGCTACTCAGGAGGCTGTGGCAGGAAAATTGCTTGAATCAGTGGGGCAGAGGTTGCAGTGAGCAGAGATTGCACCATTGCACTCCAGCCTGGGCAACAGAGCGAGACTCCGTCTCAAACAAAACAAAACAAAAAAACACCAGTGATCCCCATGGGTTTTAATGTGTAAAAGGCACGTGCTTGTGTGAGGCAGAGTGAGTCTCCTTCACCCCTGCGGAGTGACTCTTGTGGCCCTTCCAGCTTTGCCTCACACAAGCAAGTCCTTCTGGAAAATTACTCATGAAAACCCATGGGGATCACTGTTGAGTATTTGATCTGCAAATTCCAATTTCATATGCTCCTCTCCTGTGTGTACCATCACATAGAAGTCATTCACACATATGCAGCACCTTGCAGCAATGTCTATGGGGAATCGTGCATTCGTGCTGGTGGCCAGGGTGGATATTGCCGAAGAGCGTGGCCCCCAGGGTGTCCTGCAGGGCACTCCCCAGAGCTAGGAAGAGCGTCCTGATTTCCAGAGACCTCACCAGTGGAGACCACAGAACTGACCTGTGACCTGGGGATGACCAGAAGATGGCCCCAACACATCTGCCATGATGCAGAAAAGCCTTTATTGACACATGTGTAACGAGGACTCTGTCATGCATCTCAGACACACAGTCCTGCCCCAGCACAAGAGGAAAAGGAAACCTTCTCACTCACAATAAAGCACCTCATCATATGTAAAATAAATTTTGTGCCTCAGTGGAAAAGTACCCATGTCTATAGCACACCCTCTGCACGAAGCTGTCTGATTCCCGCTTCGTTCATTGTACTGGAGCCATTTTTAGGGATAAGTGGCAGATCTGATAGATTTGTAAATTCTGTCTTGTCTCCATGCGGAAGTAATGGACTCTTTCCCCTCCTGTGGAGAAAAGTTAAAAAAAAAAAGAGAGACATGTTGCCTAGGCTGGTCTCTAACTCGCAGTCTCAATCAATCCTCTTGCCTCAGCCTCCCAAAGTACTGGGATTACAGGTGTGAGCCACTGCACTTGTCTTCGTTTGCAATTCATCTCAACGTTTCTTTTGTCAACTAAAGAATGGGGAGTTTCATAAATTTGGCAAAAGAGAGCTTTATTTCTCATAAAGTGTTGCAGCCTGCAAGGCGGCCATTCTGACAGGCTGGGAAGGGAGTCTCTGGCCAGAAGCTGGAAACAGACCTTCCAGTGTGGGAAGAATAGTACACGGATCTGTGCTGAACGGTGTGGCCAAATACACAGATTCAATAAGCTATAGGAGGGGCTACAAATTTTTAAAATAATTAGTTAATATTTTTGGAACAGGGTTTCATTGTGTCCCCCAGGCTGGAGTGCAGTGGCATGATCATTGACTCACTGCAGTCTTGACCTCCTGGGCCCAAGTGATCCTCCTAGCTCAACCTCCTAAAAGGCTGGGACCACAGGTGTGTGCCACCAAGCCTGGCTAATTTTCTAATTTTTTTTTTTTTTTTTTTGTAGAGATGGGGTTTTGTGGAGATAGGCCTTCCAGTGTGCTGGAATTACAGGCATGAGCCACTGAGCCCAGCCCCTCCTTCCTGTCATGGCCTGAATTAGTTTTATGGGTTTCTTTAGAATCCCCTTGGCCAAGAGGAGAGGTCCATTCACTTAGTTGGGAGGCTTGGAATTTTATTTTTGGTTTACAGTGCATCTGCGGGAGGAAGCTAAAATCCTGAAAGGTATATACAGAAAATACAGTACAGTTAGTTGAGGGTCAAGGGTATGTTCCCTGAGACTTGCCAGGGTAGAAACTGTTCGCCCTGCCCATTGTAAACTTGGCCTTTGGCACAAGGCGTGGCCTGGCTGCTGTGCCCTTGTGGAGGGTCTGGGCAGGAGTCCAGCCTTCGACATGCACCACACATGGGCCTCTCCTGCAGGAGAATAACCTTGCAGGATCAGCATGGAGGGCTGCTCACCTGCCTGTAAGCATTCCTTTTGCAAAATGGATGTCAACTGAGAATAAAGTAAAAACATTCAGATTAGAGGCTTCCTGGAATGGCCAGGATTTTCTGTGATCCCTGGATGCTCATAGAACAAACAGCTCAGATAAGAAGTCAGCCCAGACCAGCCTGGCCAACATAGTGAAACCCTGTCTTTACTAAAAATATAAAAATTAGCCGGGCGTGGTAGCAGGCGCCTGTAGTCGCAGCTACTTGGGAGGCTGAGGCAGGAGAATCGCTTGAACCCGGGACGTGGAGTTTGCAGTAAGCGGAGATCGTGCACTGCCCTCCAGCAAAAAGAAAAAGAAAAAAGAAAACTCTACAGGCCTGGACTTGCTGCTTGTGTCTGAGGGGTGGGGCAGTCTTGGGAACTGAGCCCTCACCACCCCCTGCCCCACCCCCTTACATTTGGTCGTCGCGTTGATGATCGTTGTATTGTGAGAGCAGAGGGAAACATGGCTTGAGAGTTTTTCTGAAACGGTGTCAAATAACAATGTTGAATTATTTGTCTTACTAATTATAGTTCTATAATGTAGCTTATGAAAACCAAACCAATAAAACTAGAGTCCAGTTGTCCTTGACTGGATAACTAGTTATTAATTTCTTTCTTCTCAAAATCTAATTACTTTATTTCTAATTATGAAACACTAAGAATATTCAGTAATGTGAAGGAAATTATATAACAGCCACCCTTTCACATCACCCATATTTAAAAGATAGTACCATTTTGCCCTATATACTTCAAATCAAAACTTTTTAAGGAAAGAAAATATAATAAAGCCCACAATCTCCGTTTTTTCTCCCCTCTCATCCCAGTAACCATTGTCCTAATGGTGATAATTCATTCCCATGCGTGATACTTTTCCTACAGTATGTTCATTAGTAAAATGTATATTTTTTGGTTGTTTTTTATTTAGCATCAAAATGTGTTTTTTTGGCTGTTGTTTAGTATCAAAATGCTATGTCTTTTTACGTATTATGTTTTTGAGATTTTTTAAGTTTTGTATTTTTATTTTTAGAGACAGGGTCTCTCTGCATTGCCCAGACTGGAGTGTAGTGGCATGATCATAGCTTACTGCAGCCTTGAATTCCTGGGTTCAAGTGATCCTCCTCTCAGTCTTCTGAGTAGCTGGGACTATGGGTGCATGCTACCACGCC